CCTAGAGAATTGGGCTTCCTGTCTAGCCCTGAGTGGTGGAATCCTGTATCGATTCTTACAAGTTATAAGAATAAATTTGAGCTTGATTTTGCTTTCATAACCTAGGAAAGCAAGGCTCTGGATCCCTTTCAGCCTAATTCCCTCCTGTATTATTTTAACCCTCTACAGGAGGACTGGTTTCCCCTTGCATTTTCCAAAAGTATGGCAAGCTGAGTGTAAATGTACCTCATTTGTTTCCTCAGCCTAACTCTTCCGGGTCTTGCAGTTAAATTTTCAGTTTCTTTCTCATTTTTCCAAATGCTAACTTTCCATCCAATTTACGTTATTTGATAGAGTCAAACCCCACCCAAAGAGGGTGGACTCACCTAAAAGAATCAAGCCCTTACCCACTCCCAACAGATGATCCACCTAAGAAAGTTGAATGAGTCAACCCCCTATCCTACTTCACCAGATGTCACACCTGGGAAAGGTAAATGATCTAACCCCCAACCTTACAACAGATGTCCAACCCAGGAAAGGAGCTGTCCCCATCACCACCTTCCTGACCTTTCAACACAAAAAACTAAGCAAAACATGGTTAATTACCCAAGTGGAGATCTTTCTTGCTACTAATACTTAATTTTAAGAGTCTATACAAAACTGATCCAAAGTTCTGAAAACTTTAAGTGAATATTCCTGAACATCAGTTGGGTGTGAGGCCACTTATGAGGTTATGTTACACTCACACCATATACTGGGAAATTCTCATTCAGATTCTAATTTTCCTGAGGTACCTGTACAGATATAGCAGATAACATTTAATACTGCACAAATTTTTCCAGTGTAGCCAACAGGCAATCTTTGCTGAGCCTTAAAGTTTCAGAGCAAATATAACTACTATATATAATTCTATACTCTTTGCCCAAGAATCACTTATTGAACTTATGCAAATAACCGTATTGTCAGAAACTAAGAATACTGAGAATTGGCTTTCAAATTCCTGAGAAACAAGGAGAGAGAAAAAAATAAATGTTTCAAATTTTGGGTATAAGTACATACATTGTTGAAAGCTACAAATAGCTGGAGAGACAGAAAATGGGTTTTGTGACATCTGGAAAATGGAATACAGACAGGATCAGCAATATTTCAAACAAAAAGCCTTAAGAAATCAGCCCCGTTCTATGTACTGATTTCTGTTCTGTTTAAAGTTAGGTTAGCAATACTCATGGACATGTTAGCATTCTTTTTTTTTTTTGGAGACAGAGCCTCAAGCTGTCCCCTGCATAGAGTTCTGTGGCATCACAGCTCACAGCAACCTCCAACTCCTGGGCTCAAGCAAGTCTCCTGCCTCCACCTCCCAAGTAGGTAGGACCACAGGCACCTGCCACAAAGCCTGGCTTTTTTTTTTTTTTTTTTTTTTTGGTTGCAGCTATCATTGTTTTTTAAACCCACCACCTTAGGTGTATGTGGCTGGTGTCTTAGCCACTTGAGCCACAGGTGCCGACCTGACATGTTAGCATTCTAATTAAAGTTGTAGCAGTTAGTTTGCTTTCAGCCCAAAGGTATTTAATTTCCAAAGACATCAGAAATTTGAATTTGAGATAATTCATCAGCCTCTCCTAATATTTTTTTTGAAGGACAAAGTTTGGACTCAGGCAGTTATAAAAAATGCTTTCTAAGAAAAAAAATGCTTTCTGAGTTGAATTAAAATTATTACTGACAATCTACACTAAGGCAGACCACTATTTTATAATATTGGAAAATACATACAAATGTAAGCCACACAAAATTAACCACCGTTTCATAATTGACAATGTTTCTTCTACAATTTTAACAAACCAATTAAGCCTAATATGTCTTTCTCAGATTTTCAGTGGTGTTGATCTATCCAAAAGACCAAATTTAGAGTTTTGAGTTTGGAAGATTTCTCAAAGGCTTAAAACATTTATTTTATTCAAGCAAGACTACAAGCCAAAAGATTCTAAAGGAAATACG